TTAAAAAATGTACCTATACCTATTAATATAATAATAATCTAAATATATAATAATATATATAATCTAATCTACATTATATTTACATATGCCATTTACACCTACATTATATTTTATTAAATTTTAATTATTAGTTATTAAAAAACTATGCTTTTTAAAACCCAAATAACAATAAAATACAGGAAGTAGTTTCCTTAGAATTAAAAATAACATGCATTTTATAATAATTATATAATAAAAATATAAACAATTTTAGGGATTTGTATTCTCATCTTCCTCCAACATTCTAAGAAACTGTCTTCTTTTTGCCCTGGCTAGCTCTGTAGCCATTTCTTCCAGTTACGAATATAACTAAATTAATACGAATATAACTAATAATAAAATAACTAAAAAACAAACGCTCTGTTTGGATCTGGTTTCTTGGGCTGTCCAACTTTTGACACTATTTATTTTGCTACTGCTAGCATTTCTCTCTCAGCAGATGACATTTTTGATGCATCTGTAAATAAATATAAACTTAATATAATCGTATAACTATATTCAGTATACCCTAGACTTGACAGAAAATGAACGTGTAATCTATTTAATGGTTTAAGAACTATTATTATCCAGTAATAATGTGATTAAAGTCTGTCAAACGATAATATGCCATCCTGTCATAATGGACCTATTATGACAGGATACATAATATACTGTTATATACAGGATCGACGCCACACCGCACAGTGTGACGAAATTGAAAAACAATGGATATCAATGATTTTAAATTATCGAATGTTAGTATTGATATAATTACCATGAATATTGATAAAATTGAGCGAAAATATTTTTTCAATTTATTATTACAGATCTTATAAGTTTATTTAGAAACAAAAAAATCCCAGATCTAAAGAAATGTTAAAAATAAAAAAAAACATATTCTTACCTAATTGTAAATAATGTTAATCCGAATCATTATCCTCATCTCCTACTTCCATATCCATATCATCTAATAATTCCTGCGCTTCTGGATATAGTGAGAAATTCTTTTTCCAACTGTATTTTCGTCTAATAGATGAAATTAGTGGGTGTGACGAAATTAACAAATTATGCAAAATATCTTCCATGTTTTGTTTTCTACCAATTTTTCTAGAAAAGTTTTGACGGATTATCCTAAATTCTTTATTTCTAGCTTCGGAAGCTTTTTCGGTCAATTTCCCAATTGGAATCAAATTAAAATGTTTACAAATGTCTGCACCATGTATCAAAAGGATGTGAACACATGGGGGCATATAATACCAGCTGTATAAAGATATACTTTACATCTCTGCAGTGACATTCAAGTACGCACGAAACTTTTCGAAATTATTTTTTTTCTCACATGAAGTGACTTGAAGGATAACTGCAAACCGATAAATTAGGTTGCTGTCTATACCAGTTATTCGCGAGGTTACTTCGTGATTTCTGAAGAAGGTTCTGGCCGTGTTGCCATCGTTTGTTGTTCCATGTCCTTGTTTAACGACATCCAATATTATTCCTAGCTCATCTCTAAAGGCCTTTTAATTCCTTTCTTTCTTTCTTCTTTCAAGGTTTTGTTTCCTCCCTTTGCAGACCATGACTTAAAATCTATATTGTATACAATATGAAGGAGACATTCCATACATCTTATCCACAAATGAACGGTTGAAAGTCCATACTTATAAATATCTCTCCTTAAAGGTTTTTTCATAAACTAATAAACATCCAAAATATTATTCATTTCAGAAGGTTTGGTAAGACAAATAGGACAAGTGGATGAAGACGATGTTTCAGATATTATGGTGCGAATTTTGCCGTCTATCATAGTCAAATGAAGATCGTGCTTAATAATAATATCTACATTGCAATATGTTGGAATAAGATTTTCGATTTTGGTTTGCATATCTTTAAACTGTTGAGTAACCATATCAGCTGATTCTTTAGTAAACTCAAACTTTATCGGTCTACAATATCGCGTTGATGCGGGTACATGATTTTCCCATATAGTTCTACTACCCATTTTCAAATGGAGAGGTACACAACTTGTCATGAACACCGAAGATTCTTCCTTCGCGGTCTTCAAATTTTTGTTTATATAAGCTCTGACTAGATGCACCATCAAAACCCCATTTAGTAGTGAAAATTAATTCTGAATTTGGCTGTGTGTTCCAGTTGCAAGTTTTAACAATTCTTTTAGCTGTTAGATCTAGAATTGATTATTGTAAGCGTATCTTTGCCATTTTCTCTGTTACAACAACATCTTCTTGTGGTGGATAACAATTTTCCTTTTCTTTTTTGAGCTTGTAGTATGATGGTAGTATATTATTCCCCATATGTTCAATTGTAAAGTCTCTCAAAGTATTATATTGATATGTTTTCCGGATGAATGCAAATTGGTTTTTTGAAGTTTTAAATAAAAAATCACTCACTTTTGTAACATCATGATCGTTTTATAAAAGGTGCTCAATAATTTTGCTTAGTTCTTTTCGACCTTCCATTTTTGACCTCAATTTTATAGCAAATGCCAACTCTTCAAAAGCATTTTCATGAGTTAGGCTAAGTGTTCTTTTTTTCTCTTTCGTACTCAAATCACCGAATGGTTTTAATGGTTTTGGCTTGGGGTTGTCTTTGCTAGTCGAGACCTGTTGCAACAAAAACTCATTTTCAACACATTCTGGCCAAGAAAATGTAGCCTCCAACCACTGAGATTCCTTTTTTAAAAAATAGTCAATATTCCGAGAGGAGGTTTGATATTTATTGTTCAAATTAACGCAAAAAAGTCTTAAACATTCCGACAGAACTTTCGACATTCCTTCGGAAAACAAAACACTCCACTGGGTCTTAACCGCATGCACTAGACTATTATGGTCTTTTAAACTAATATTCTTGTCTCGTAACATTAGAAACCAATCGCGATTTTTTTGTAATTTCTCCATCTCGAAAATGCTGACCACACGGTGCTAGGAAAATACGACAACTAAATAAATATATCACAATACTTCAAAGAAATTATTTTCTTGATTCAAGCCATGACACTGGAATGTGTATAAAAACTAGAATTCTTTATGCGCCTTCATTTGAATCCGTATAGACTAATACAAAATAAATACCTTTGCAGAATGTGAAATAAAAACATTTTTTTTCTAAGAATAGCAAATATTAGCAAATAAAAAATATAGGCTTTTTTTCCCTAAAGGTGGCTCTATCAAGCAAGATATTTGCCAACTTAAATAAATCTAAACATTTTTTTATAAGTCAACGGAAACATTAATTTTGTAAAAAAGTTTATAGATTTTGCACACAAAAAATAACTTTTAATCAAGCAATACTTTTGTAGCACATTTTTTTGTAAAATGGGCAAGGTTTTTGGCTAAATTTTTGTGACTTACGGAAGGGCAAGTTTCAATTAAATTTATTCGGAAACTAAATGTTGTAAAAAAAATAATGTGAACCAACATAGCGTAGGGTATTGCCAATTTGCTGATGAAAAAAAATAGTACTTTTCAATGTTGACTTTATACTTAAATGTCCACTTTTTTCCCATATCGAAACATTGTGCGCCGGCGCGGCACCTCGGATTCGGATTTAGAGACAATCCTTTTCTCCTTTGTATACCGGTCTCTTAAGGCCTTCCACCTCTTTTAGCATTCTTGAGCTGAATAATAACTATTAGTAAACACTATACACTAAAATTAAGTAAAAATACACAACAATTACAATATTTGTGCGACTTCCACCCAAGTTTCATGTTTTTTTAAAAGATGTTTATAATCACGGTGTTCAATATTATATAAATGTTCATAATTTGTTATTAAACCTAATAAAAAAACCACTTATATCGTCAATCTCGCACAATTAGGTATTTGCAACATATCTTAAATCAAGCGAAATACACCAAAATTTGTAGGGACCAACCTTGAAATAAATTTAATGATATTACAAAATCATATAAAAGACCCAGTGCCCCGAATTTCAGGTATCAAAAAGCCTTCCCAAAGGTAAAATTTAAAGGGGCTGCGAAACGACCGCTCATTGGCTGTGACGTCACTTCGCATATAAACACGGCGCCATCCTGGTTGTTAACATCGACTTGTTCAGCGTGGTTTTAGCTTTGTGTAGAAGTGAAATTGCGACGAAATCTGATAATTTGTTTTATTCTGCCTAGTAAAATAGTGTTTTAAATTAGTTATGGCCGCCGAAGGATTTGTAAAAGCTTCCACAAACAATCTACCTTCTGTAGATATGTTCATGGTAATGGAATACATAAAAAAGGACGAATGTTTTAATTCAGCTGAAATTAAAGGTGCAAAAGCAGCAATGTAAGTACTCATTTATGTAAAATAGTAATTGCCTTTTTGTTCCTAGGTATATTATAATACCTATGTTAGCTCGTGGTAATAATTTATCCAATGGACTAACAATGGACTGCTTCGATTCCCAAAGAAAAACCAACGTCGAAGGACCACTCTTTCGAGAATAAACCCACGAATTGAAATCACTACTTTATTTATTAAATTATAAATAAATTCTTCACAATAACAAATAATAAAATTGTTTAAAAATGTTATTGTGGGAGGAGTAATTCCAATAAACTTTGGAACAGACTTGAAAATTCGTTAAAATAAAAGTGCGAATTGGCGCTATGGATCAATGCTGCTTCCAGCAAGAATAAAGGGCTACTAATTTATAAAAATAAAATAATATTTCACGACGTCGACGGCTCGTCGCTATGCGGTATCATCACACGGCTTTCTTCGAACTCCCGCTGTTTGTGAAAATGCCGAATTGCCGACAATGCATTCTGCCGACTTGTACCGGGCGTGCAAATAAATTAAATTAGTAAAAATAAAAATAAAAATACCTTTTTTGTTTTCATATATTTGTAAATCGCAACAACCTAAAAGATTCAAAAACTGTTTGAGGTTATCTTGTTTTACTAGTCCTGCAGGTAATAGGCAGGGCTTGTAATAATTTCATTTTATTTCCATACTAATGTAATTATTTATTATTTTTAGGGCGTCTCGTAAAGAATATGGAGACAGTGCTGTTGGATATGTTGAGCTTAAACGAGAAGGTCCATTCTGTACTGTGCAATGCAAGATTTGCCCGGAGCATAGAATCCGTTCTAAAAATTATGCTGTTTGTTTGAAAGTTGATGAAGCCAACGAAACTATTCTAAGCGTCGAGTGCAAAGACTGTGCAGCAGCTGCAGGTAACTAATTTAATATACAGGCCACCATTGATATTTTTTAATTTTTTTGTTTTATTTCTCGTAGGTGGTTGTAAGCATGCTCTTGCATTTCTAATGTGGATGCATCGCCGGACAGAAGAACCTTCACCAACAGAAGTTACTTCTTATTGGAAAAAACCACGGCTATCTGGTGTAGGAACGACACTGAAATTCACAACAGCTAGGGACTTTTCCAAAAAAACTGTCAACCCTCCAGTTTGTGATGTTCTTTCATTTCGAAACGAGCTAACTAGTCTTGGAGAAAGTTCCAAGTTGACAGGTCATCTGTTAAAATATACTTCTGAGACATATGAAGAGTCATTTGAAAAACTGTCATTATATAAGGTAATGTTGCAATTCAGAAGCAAGGGCGGTATAGAGTGTGACGATTTCATAAAATTTGCTGTGTCACAAATGAGCAACTCTCTTTGTTCTGAAGCAGAAAAGAAGACGAGAGCTCAATCGGAAAACCCCTTATGGCATGAGCTTCGATTTGGACGAATCACAGCTTCCAAAATATTTGAAGTTGCACATTGCAAAACTCCAGAGGGCACTTTAGTAGAATCGATAATAGGTTCTTACAAAGTGAGGGACAACAAATTCATGAAGAGGGGAAGACTATTAGAAAAAAAAGTATTAAAGTGTGCCGAACAAAAAGTAAAGTGTAAATTTCAAGAGTGCGGTTTTTTTACAATGCCTTTGTTGCCTGTCCTCGGAGCCTCACCGGATGGTATCTCAAAAGATTACGTTGTGGAAATTAAGTGTCCTAGCAGTGTAAAAAATAAAAACACTTATATAAAAGACAATAATATTACAGCTAAATTTAAGGGACAACTCCATTTGCAAATGTTGTGTGCTAATAAAAAAAAGGGTTGTTTTGTGTTGCATCTCCAGATTTTGAAGAATCAAATAATGTAGAAATTTTGGAAATTGATTTTGACGAGCAGTTTGCTAATGAGCTTACAGCAGCAGCTATAGAAAACTGGAAAAAATTTGTATTTCCTAAGCTTTTTGTAAGTTGTCAATAAATATTTGAAAAGTTAAATGTGTTTTAATTTACTAAAAAAATGTGTTGTTTGTAATCTAATTAGTTTATAATCTAATTTGCAAAAACTAATTTACTGTGTTGGGATATAATGTTTAAAATAAACTTAAATATTTTTTTTATTTAAAAAAAAATATATATAAATATTTACATTTTCTATTTACACTTTAATGGTTATATTAAATTACAAAACTAAAAACTAATAGGTTAATACATATTTTCACATTTGTTTTATAATTGGGTTCTGTAAATTAATTAAAGCACATGCGATTTTAATTACTGCATCAGTCTGAGCTATTAAATTATGATTAATTACAGAATGGGGCTTTAAATACTGAAATTCTCTTATGCGTCTAATAACCCGCTCAATATGTATTCGTAGACTAGCTATCCTTTTGCTTTCCATTACTTCAGCTCGAGTGGGTTTTGTTGATGAGGAAACACTTGGAGGTCTAACCAAATTGACCTTCCGCTCATGCAGGAATTTGGCAATATCCTTAAAACCTCTGTCTGCCATTACACTTGATTCAACAGGTACTTGGTCCAGATACCCACATATCTGAACCAACAATGAATCACTGATCCTTCCACCATATCCAATGGAAATAAAATTTATGAAACCGTCTGGTGTTGATGACACTAAATATTTCAAAGTGTTGCATTTTTTATATTCTGACCAGGTAAGAGCTTGCTGTACTGGGTTTGTGGGTTTTTCAATCTCTATTTCCAGACAGTCAATGATAGACTGAACATTATGATATCGAGCTCGGAATGGAATTGGCAAAAAGTATTTAATTTTCTCACTAGGTGGCCAAAATATTAGTGTGCTCAAGTAGAGTTCTAATTGGACCAAAGACTTTGCAAATATTTTTGATGCATTTCCTGTGGACATTCCAAACATGTGACCTAAACGTTGAAATGGGTCATTTAATTTTATTTTCATTAGTGTCAAATAAATATTGTCCTTCGTTAAATTTGTTTTGGCACTTAACAAATTCACTAAATCAGGCAACCACATATTTGGTGCCCCCAGGTAAAATTTGGCGTTTTTTTCTACTACACAACGTGTCACAATTAGGGCTTGATATTCCTGTTCTTGTTTGTCATCTATCTTTATGTCACTACTTCCTGCACTTACAGTTGATGCAAATGAGCTTGACTGAGATGCAGCATAACTTTTTTCGCTACTGCTACTGCTACTTGCTTCAAATAATAATTTCTTTGCTTTCTTCACTTTCAAAGGTGATGTAGCAGTATTTTTGAGCAAAACATGCATTGGAGAAACTGCTGAATGCCGGACTGGAATTTTTAAATTGCACTCTACATACTTGCTACGATATGAAGGCCGAACTTGAATGCCTATCGTTTTCTGCTTATTTAATATCTCTTCAGGTTCTTGTTGCACTTCCATGCCTATCTCAGCCGTACCTAAAAACATTAAAGTTTAACATAGAAGAAACCTACAGCACAAGTGTCAATACTTACTAGTTGAGGGAGTATCTAAAGCTAAAGACTGACCAGCAAAACGGTTTTCATCAGCTTCTTGAGCATCTGCTACCAAACGTTTTTGTTCTCTTTTCATTGGCAAAGAAGGTTCAAGAACATGAGTCGCAGTTCTCTTCCGGTCTGGTTGGCATTCAAAAATATGTGGAACAACATCTCGTTTCATTATTATTTTTCCACCCATAAGTTTAAAACGCACATAATTTTCCATGTCTTCTTCCAACTAAATAAAAAAAATTATCAGTTGGAGATGGAAGATAACATAACATCATTTTTAACTTACTTTAAAGTGGTCTTCACAACAGAAAAATTCACTTTTTGATTTGGGCATATCACGTCTAGCTGCTGAGAACCATAGTTTCTTACGCCCATAATCCTGAGGCACACGCACAAAGAGTTTGTTTGGTGTACTTACAGATGTGCTTGTACAACGGGGCACAAAACACCACTTATTCTGAGACCCGTACATAGGAATTTACCTATGTAATCACTCAAACACTTGAAAATGGTCTTACTAAACTGTGGTTATGCATGTTTTTGTTTGTAGCCACGAAAATAAAGTCTTAATTTACTCTTAAAATGTCTAAAACACACAGAACTCAATTTAAAAACATGAACAAAGTTGACATCGCTTCACTGTTTATATGCGGCATGACGTCACACGGCCTCAACCTTGGGATACCCTATTTTAGCGCCAATTTCGGGCGTTTGAATTTTAAATGTTTTTTTTTTTCTTGAAATACTTTTTGAAATATTTTTTTTATGTTGCCACCAGATTTATACCTATATAAGCTCTCATTTTCACAGTTTACAAAAAAACACGAAAATACCCAATTACTTGTGTTTCGAGGTTAGGTTGCTGGCCTATTTGAAAAATAGGATGTTTTTACCCGATATTAATTGCCAAGCTTGCAATTTTTCAATGCATAAAAATGGTTTTTACGCAAGAACGGTACATGTCAAGAAATTAAAGAACTCGCATCATGGAAACATAATATGGATCTCGTTAGAGTTTCTTATTTTTCTTGTGCATATAATTATATTTTTGAGCTTATAAGTAACAAATAGCGCAAATTACAAAAAATTCAGTTACTTTTTATGTCTAGTTTTTATTTTATTAATTCCTGAAGTATCGATGTTAATGGAACCGTTAAAATGACTTTATAAACGTGTTATGACAGTAGCTTTATTTGAGTTCCCAAAAAGTACGGTTCTAGAACGGTTCAAAACACTGGCACAATATGATTTTTTGCAACTTTTGACATGAATGATTGTTGAAATTAGACTGTGCGATTGTTTTAAACCGTTTTTGAACCGTACTTTTTTGGAACTTGAATTAAGCTTATATGTTTTTCTGACCTAATTTTCGTAGTTTGACATGAATAGGCCCTTCTTCTTCTTAAGGTGCCGTGCAGATTCCTGCGTAGGCGTTCATCTTTTTCTTCCTCATCAGATGGTTCCGTTAACTGCCGCGACTTGGAGTGCTTGGAAGTCCTGTGCCTGTCCAATGACGAATATTTCTCAGCTAGGATAGCTTCCTTCGTCCTATCCCCCTTTTGCCCCCCTCTATTTTACCCTGGAGAATCAGACGCTGAAAGTGATAGCGTTCTCCACGTAGTATGTGTCCCAATTATTTTCCTCTTCTTGATGATTTCGAAGAGTTCACGTTGTTCCAGACCAGCTCTTCTGAGAATGTCTTCATTCCTAACACGGTCGACCCAGGGCACTCTTAGCATTCGTTGTAGGGTCCACATTTCGAAGGCTTCAATTCGGTTTATTGTTGCTACCTTCAGTGTCCATGCTTCCACACCATATAACAAAACGCACCAGACATAGCACTTCACCATTCTGTATCTAAGGCCGAAGTTCAAATTCCTATCTGTGAGAAATCTTCACAGTCTCAGAAAAGTAGATCTTGCTTGTTCGATCCTGCATTTGATCTCCTGATCCGGATCCCACGTTTCGTTAACCATGCATCCCAAATATTTAAATTGTGTGACCTGCTTGATGACCTCTCCATTTAAGTAAATTCTGGGGTCCGGAATATTGTTTCTGCTAACAGCCATAAATTTAGTTTTTGTAGTATTTATGTTTAAACCCAGTCTTTGACTTTCACTGTTTTTAGAAGGATTTGGAGATCATTTGCATTGTCTGCCAATATCACTGTGTCATCCGCATATCGGATATTATTAATTGGAATGCCATTTATTTTCAAACCAATGAGACTATCGGAGATTGACTCAGTGAATGCTCTTTCCACATATAAATTGAACAACATTGGAGACAGAATACACCCTTGCCTTACCCCCTTTTTTATTTCAAAATCTTCTGTTACTCCTACGCTATGTATACGAATTTCAGCTTTTTGGTTCCAATACAAATTACTGATGAGCCTTATATCTTTTCCATCAAGTCCCAAGTTTCTGAGGTATGATACAAGGAGGTTATGTTTAACATTATCGAACGTCTTTTCATAGTCTATAAAGCACATGAAGACATCTTTTCTCTGATCTTGGCAATTCTGTACTAAAGTTTGAAGACTGAATATGGCTTCTCTAGTACCAAAGCCGTTCTTAAATCCAAATTGACTTTCTCCACTTACTTCCTCACATATTTTGTAGAGTCTTGTATGCAGTACCCGTAAAAAGAGCTTAAGAAAGTGGCTCATTAGACTAATAAGACGATACTCTTTACATGAAGTTGCGTTACTTGACTTGGGCAGCGTGATAAACGTAGAACGAAGCCAGTCTTCAGGGATGTAACCGGTGTCATAGATGTTATTGAAAAGCTGTACTATAGTTTTTAAGTTTTGTTCATTAATTAAGTGGAACGTTTCCGAATACATATCATCAGGCCCTGGAGTTTTGTCGTTTTTATTAATCTAATCGCATGAATAATTTCACTTTCCAACATGCTTGGTCTGATGGCATGGGAATCTCAGTTGCAGGGTTTTCTGATCTTTCGTCGTTGAAAAAGATTAATGGTATAATTTCTCCAAGTTTGCAATAGTTCTTCTGTTTCCGTTATAATTTTATTTTTCATCAGTTTTAATTAGGGTTATTGATTTATTATGGTGTAACCCAGCTATCTCTTTTTCACTTTCTTGTGAAGATGGAAACTGTCTCCAAAGGTGACTGAGATTTTCGGCCTCTATACATCTCTCCTTCAACCATGTCTCTTTTGCCGTTCTTATTTTATTACGAATTTTTCTTTGCATAGATTTATATTCTTGTGATTATTCTGGATTTTAAATTGTCTTCGTTGTTCCATCATTTTGTAAAATATCTTCACTCATCCACTCGTTTTTCGCTGTTGTTCGATTAGCCGTGAGGAGGTTTTCATTTGTGTTCTTGAAAGCTTGCTTAATGCCCAGCCAATGTTTCTCAGTGTCATTTGTACTGACAATACTTTCCAATTCTCTATTTATATGGTTTTCATACATTGATCTTGTCTGCTGGTCTCTGCGAAGTTTTGGATCCAAGTTCTTTCTCAAGCTTTTTCGTTTAGGTTTGGCAAAACGCAATAGGATGTTGGCACGTAATGGATTATGGTCCGATTCAATATCGGCACCTGGCATTGTAGTTACTTTTGTGATCAGGTTTTTAAAATAGGCCGGGCAGGTTTTTAAAATAGTTTTTTAAAGAATAGGCCCTAAAGCACCAAAAATCTTAAATTCTTTAGATACTAAAAAGAATAATACTAATTTGGTATTTTTGGTTCTAATTTGGTATTTTTTTGGAAATAATTTGGTATTTCTGGTACTTTTTTCTCAAAATTGGTATTTATTGTACACCATTTTTGGCAGCGGTTTGCCCCTCGCCTTTTATTTATGTCACATACTGCAGATTTTGAAGTCATAATCTGTTCCGCAATTTAGCGAGTTTTTTTCCCAGAATCAAGATACTCGGATATTTTAGATTTTTTGGCCAGAATCTTATGGGTTCGTTTGACTAGAACTATTACGTTTAATCCGCTCTAGAATCCAATGCTAGGGTTGCCAACTTTCAAAAAAAAATAGAGGACGAGAGGGTAAACAGAGACACAGGCGAAACATTTTTTGTAACCTCGCCTCGATGGTCTTTCTTACTTTCTTAAAAATATTTATACTCAAAACATGTTAAAATAAAATAAACCATTTTCAGGAAAACTTCTTTTTCAAAACATAAGCTAACAGTAACTAAACATAAAATAGTTAAACATGTTTATCACTTTCACAAATATTTCTTATACATAAATATTTCTTCATTTTCTTTTTATTTCTGTCGAAACGAGTAGCGAAAGACACAGATCATCAATTCTTTAAAGCATTGCTGTGGCATTGAGGCGATAGACGAACAATTTTTAGATTTTGAGTTTGGTATGTAAAAAAGAGGACTTTTTCAATACGTGATAGAAAAGAGGACAGTAAGATCAATCAATGGAGAAGATTAATCACTGGAACAGAAGACGGTTGGCAACCCTATCCAATGCAGAAATATAGACTCTTAGTTCATAAACAAAGTGTAAACAATTCTGCTTGTCCAGATTGGAAAATTTTGGAGATTTCGCGTACGATTTTTTTTTGCGCTCGGATTTCAGGGGTAAATATTTTAAAACGCCAGACTAATATCCGTGTCCGGATTACAGTAGTGCCCGTTCTAGAGCGTCCGGTCTATTGAAGTTATACTACTGTTCTACAAAATATTCGGAATATTTCCGAAAATACACCAATGAAACGAAATATTGTAAAATGGTTTAAAGACGGACCTGGGTTTTTAATCAATTTAATTCTACATATAACACGGAACATTAGGATTATAAATATTATTGCACTTATTAAGCAACAATTCAGTATTCTCCTTAATTAATCAAGCACTTTCCTACAATAACGAAGTCGCCTTATTTTTAATACAATTTGCCATTTTAAAATTCTGCATTTTACAACCGTATACTGCGCTTTATTTAAATTTCTCTGCCACATATGACGTAAATGTAAAGTAATATTCGCATAAATGACCACAAAATCTTT